TTGTCTTTGTGATGCTTGCATGGAAGACCAGGAGGTGGCTCTTGGCACTTGTCTGTAAGACTGAAGGGGGTGGCCCCCGGCTTGGCAGGAAAGACCACGTGGCGGCCCGTGGCATAATGGCAAGACTATGTTTTGGCACATAGCATTTTATTTGATTATGTAATATGATTGTTTTGTATGGCTCACAGTTATGTATGGTAGTATCCGGTTGAAAGAGACCGGAGGGGTAGGCCAGCACCCAGATATGTTAGGCAGCATGTTGATATGTATGATATGTGGTATATGGGGAACTCACTAAGCTTCGTGCTTACGGTTTTCACTTTTGGTTTCAGGTACTTCGTTTTTAAAGGAAATGAGTCGGTTAGATCGCAGCGCATCACACTATGTTTTCCGCATATTAGATCTTTGGGATTACACTCTGATATTGTTTTATGATAACATGTTTTGATTATTGGCACTTTGGTTTTTACATGGGATGTTATTATGAATGTTTTTATACCGTTGGTTTTATAATAACTTAATTAAAAATAAAAATTTTGGTCTTAAATTTTGGGATGTTACGGTGAATATATAGTTTTTGTGTATTAAACTGTGAATTTAATATATTAAGTTGTTAATTTCGAGTATTGATTGTATTAAGTTGTGAATTGATTGTATTAAATTGTGATTTTTTTTATGAATTTTATGTTAAAATATAAATATTTGTATTAATTTTCTTGTGAGTATTTTTTTGTGAAGTAAATATGTAACAATGTATTAGTTTTTATAATTGTTGTATTAAACTCTAAATTAGTGGATTAATATGTTTATTAAACTGTGAATATAGTATTAAGCAAACAATGTATGATTTTATATACATATTTGGTTTGAAATGAATGATGGTTACGACGTTGACATAGATGGATGGTGCTGATATGTGGTAGTTGGTGGTGGTGGTAGAGTTTAGGTTTGGCTTTCCTAAATTAGTGAATTAGTGATATTATGATTGTATTAAATTGTGAATTTTGTATACTAAACTATGAATGGATTGTATTAAATTTTGTATTTTGTATAATTTTTATGTTAAAATATGAATCGATGTATGAATTAAAATATAGGACTATAAAAATTATAATTTTGCCCTTTTCGTACCAAAATTACAAAAAAAATCCGGATTGTAACATGTTTAATAAGTATTGTGTACATATTTACTAGGGGTGTTCGCGGTGCGGTTTGGTGCGGTTTAGAGTGAAAACCACAAACCGCACCGCATATGCGGTTTACGATTTTTCCAAACCACAAACCGCACCGTGAAAGCCGTAAACCGCAGTATGCGGTGCGGTTTGGCACATGCGGTTTTACGGTTTATGTGCGGTTTGACAAGATACTTAACCTTATTACTTTTATTGGTATCATTCAATTTTAGATTCGGTAATATTTGAATACGTAATATATATGTCATTATGTTTGCCAATTTATGCGTTACTTTCGGATCCATATATTTTTGACATTCCTTTTTTCGTTGTTTTGATATAATGACCAACATTAAGAAAAAATAATATAGAACACAACTCCAAATTTATTAAACGATATCTGCAATCGGATTAAACAATTGATGCAATGATAATTTAGAAAAGATAAATTAAAGAAGATGCTACAAAAATCAATTAGTCATAGTTAGAAGTTATCAAATATGCATCACTGTGTTATATCATATTTATGGCTGGACATTCGATTTGTAAAATATGTATAATAGTTTTTATATGGTAAATATTTGTAATATAATCAAATTATATATATATATATATATATATATATAAAATATGTGGTGCGGTGCAGTTTGAACCAGAGTTTTCTAACTATAAACCGCAAACCGCACCGCATAGTGCGGTTTACAAATATTACAAACCGCAAACAGCATAGCAAAAGTCCAAAACCGCATTATGCAGTATGGTGCGGTGCGGTGCGGACGGTTTATGCGGTTTCTTGCACACCCCTAATATTTACTTATAAAATGGGGTTCTTACGGTTCTTAATATATATATATATATATATATATATATATATATATATATATATATATATATATATATATATATATATATATATATATAAATTCGTGTGAGGACTCTTTTTTCGATGAGGACTCGAGAGGACACCTTAAAAAAATTGAAAAAACAAGGCAAATCATAAAATCGAGCATAGTACTATATCGGAGAGAAAAAAGTTGGAAAAAATGGATCATTAAAATTGAAGCGTGGATCATTTTTATGATCCATGATTCACTTTTTATGATCCATGATTCAATTTTAATGATCCATATTTTTTTCTCTTCGATGTAGTACTATGCTTGATTTTATGATTTTTATTTTTTTTTCAATTTTTTTAAGGTGTACTCACGAGTCCTCACCGAAAAAAGAGTGTTCACCGGAACCGGACCATATATAATAACCTTATAGACGATTTAATTAGTGAGAATATGTGATAATGACAATAATTATATAAGATTGAACGTATTCGCATTATCAAACAACATATTTTCTTTGTCATTCTCACAAAATAGCATTGTCCATACGTCCGCACAATAGATGTCAATCCACATTTGAACCTAGCTATATATATATATATATATATATATATATATATATATATATATATATATATATATATATATATATATATATATATATATATATTTGTAAACATGTTTTATGTTATTGTATCTCCAATTAAAGGGTGTGTACCATGTTTTTTAATGTCCGTAATAGGATAACTACATAAAATATATATTGACAATGTTTGTACGTCGGTATCAAAAATTTTGGCTCCGCCACTGACGAAGATATGGATAACATAGGCTATTCGTCATTGTGATTGGATCCAAACAGTCAAGACGTAAAATTCTGTGAAGTAGATACAAAGTTCAAAACAAGATATGACCAAGGGCGTGTTCGGCATTAAGCGTTTGAGAGCTTCTAGCTTCTAGCGTTTGACAAAACGCTCCGTTTTGAATAGAAAGTCTCGTTCGGCACTACAAGTTTCTAGCGTTTAGTTTTAACAAAACGCTCCAAATTCAAATGCTACTTCATGTAACGTTTAACAAAACGCTACAAACTACAAACTACACGTTACACGCTACCCACTACAAGCTACCCGATAACAGCTAGTTTTGCCGAACACGCTCCAAATGTATTACTAGTGCTCCACGTCCATGATTTAGGTGGTGTTCGTTTTTTCATAGAAAAAATATCTACAGTCTGCAGACCATATTTACAGACCTCTGCATTAAAAGATATTGAGCTAATGTCTGCAGTCTAAAAGAAGAACATTGTTTGTTTTTTTTAACGTATATAGACTGTTAAAATACACTAAAATTTAAATAAACTTATTTTTTAAACTTAAAAGAGTTTTTCAACACTGAAATTTAAATAGTTCTAGTTTTATAACGCCGAAATGTTCTATCAAATTCAAATTTCTTTTAATTTCAATTAATTTAAAATATTCCATATTGAAATCATATGAACCCTTTTTCTTTGATCAGTATATTCTAAAATAAAATTTTCCTAACACTTTTGTGATTATCTTATAAATAGAAGTTTAGATTAAATTATATATTATAGTATATCACATTTATTTTTCATAACCATTTTTTTATCTTACTATTTTTGTTATGACATTATATTATTAATGTGTATCTTAAATTATTTTGTATTTTAATGACAATAGAATAATTAGGTATTTTAAACGGTGTGTTGCAATATAAAAATAAAATAAAAAGTATGAATTAACAGATATGTGTGAGATTTATTGTATTTTGTTGTACTTAAAATAAGAAAATGTTATAAAAAAAGACATCTGGATAAAAATTATTAATATTTGAAGAGGTTACGAAAAAAAAAAGGGCATTTGAACAAGTATAATTGTCGTTGATATAAAAGGACTAAAATGAGAAAAGTATTTTTTAAGTTTGAAGATGACCGAAGAGATTAGAGGAATCATAGTTCATATTTGTGCCAAAAAAAAGCACATTCAAATACTTTTAGATCTTCGATCTTCTAAAAACAATCAATGAACTAATATCTGTACATGATCTGTGCAAAACAAAGCAAAAGAATCAACAAACAAAAAACAAACACCAAATTTAGCTTATATGATATGTTTTGGGACATGGGTTCTAGATGGTATAGATGTCAAAATATAGTACCCTCCGTCAGCATTTTTTTTTCTTTTGCATAGATTATTTCTGTTTTCCATAATAAGAAGTTGATTACATAATCATAAACTCATAATAGACTATTTGCGCTTTTTATCTATAAAATAAATTTTATGGTGGTTTGACCCTAAAATAAGAACTACCTCGTTGTATTAATTTAATTGAAAATGACATTAACTTACTTTGTTCTTCTGATCTACTAAACGTAATGACCAAACCAAATCACTATGGACGTCAAATAAACCAAAAATTCATTCTACATCCTACCTTAAACATTATTAATTAATTCAAAAACCTCATCATTTGCGTCTACGAGTTAAAATTTTAATTAGTTGATAGTTAAAGGGAACAACTTCTTTTTTCGTTTCCGTGTTGTCCTGATTAATTATTAATTAACAGCTGCAATATAACAATATAACATGGCGTTTAAAAAAAATCAAAAAATTCTAAAATACTATATTAATTGCTGCAATATAACAATAATAGGTATTCTTTTAAACAACTTTAAAGGATAGTAATTGCTGCAATATAATATAATCATCAATTTTTTTTTTTTCTGAAATACTATATTATTTTAGTTTTAATATGAAAGATGATTAGAACTGCATGGATCATGAAAATTTAGATTTGTGAATTCATTTCAGGGGTAAAATTTGGAAGAGGACCCCCAAAATGGAAGGTGTTTGGCATATTCATATGAACTGCTTCAGAATCAAAGCAATCCATGGATCGATCTCACTACAGCAAAAAAAAAAAAATTCATTACAGTATTTACAACACTACCACCGATTCGCCTCCGACCTCCACCCTATTCAGGTATGGCCGTTAACATTGCCGTAAAGTTACGCCTCCTTCCGCTACCAACGCCTCTCCTCCTATCGCTTCTAGATCCAATATTCCCTACATCCGATACCCGACCCGAACTCTTCGTATTGCTATGACCACCTGAACAAACGGGTGCTGTGAAATTAAGGTTTTTCCGACGACAACCGCATTTTTCGCCACCGCTTTTGGCCAATGCGGAGCTAGCTTTTACGGCCAATGCAGCCATCTCCTCCGGCAGAAGCGGACGCCTCAACCGAGTCAACGGAAGCGCGAAGTAGAGCTGACCAGGATGAAGCACGTCCTCATCACGGATAGCGGAAACAACATCATCAAATTCCATCTCGTCGGAATTACAGATGAAGGTGGATGGATTCTTTTGTAATACGTATGAAACTTTAACCGGGTAGGAGAATTCCTGGAGGCTACCGTCGTGTAATATCAATTTAGCGGTGGCGACAGCTGTCGAATCGCATGAGCTACAAATCCCCATTTTTTGAATTGAGAGAATGAAGATGAAAATGGCGTTGATGTGGGTGGGAGATAGGAGGTGGGTTTATATATATACAGAAGAAAGGTGGGGGACAATAGTATGGACAAGAAATTCACGTCAGCCAATGGCAAAAGTGTAATTAATCTCTTTTCTGGGGGTTTTAATGATAAGGTGTGGGTCATGACAAGCTGTAAGTTGCTGATGACAGGCTGTAAGCATCAATAAACAGTAAACCCACGATTTCACGGAGATATTACTATGAACTATGAAGGACTGGTGTGGGGGATAGGGCTGACGTCAGCAGATATTTTTTTTAAGATATTGCAAGATATAAATAATATAATGTTTAGAATTTTCTAGATTGATCATGTAAAAATGTTATTTAGTATAATATTACTAGGGCATGTTAAACGTAATGACATAAAAAGTGGTTATGGCTTTATTTATTATGTGAAGACTTGAGTTAGTAAACGTTTTTTTGGTATAAAGTTAATGCATATATTTAATTGTGTTTGTGGAAAAAGGAATAAGGCCAAAATGTGCTTTTGAGGGGCATACTTTGCAAAAAACATATGTCGATGACTTACGCTTGAAAAAGTTGCGATGTGATAGGAAAAAAAGGATGTTTACTTGAAAGTTTAATAAACTAATGATAATGTATTAAATTATGAGAAAAACAACGCGGATTAAAATAATAAATCGAGAATTATAGTAGGATGTATATTTGCTTTTTTGAACGTAGTAATAATATAATATAAGCGATTAAACGTAATTATATATTAGCAAAACATTTATGTGATGGTTTAATATATAATACCGTTACTGTTACATAGAAAATTAGAAATATCTATTTTTAATATTAGCGAAAGTCGTGGACTCATTAAATGCAACTTACTACTATAACATGAGCTTCACATGCTATGAATAAAGGTATAAATGATAATAGGAAGAAAAATGCATAAACGTAAAGAGATAGATAGCTTGATTATGTAATGATAAAATCGATGGCTTTGAAATTTGAATCCAATTATCAAAATCGAACTTAGCGTTAAGTTATTTTGCTTAGAGAGACGGGTGTGGGCAACGGGGCTTCCCGTTATAGGTGACATGGCACCTAATAACGGCGCCATAATGGATGGAACACCGCCCCGGCTTGCCGTTATTAGGTGTTATGTTACCAAATGTTATCACGACAACGGGCCATAACGCGTATAATTGATGCAAACAGTCACAATTTCGACCGTTTTTTTCAAACGGTAACTAATTAAAAAAAAATTACACTATAAATACATACAACTTATATCATTTTTAAATACAAAAAACATAAATTTCTCTCAATATTTCAACTACATAATTCTTTCAATATTTCAAAACCAAAATATGAATCGTCTTGATCCGGCTCATCCGTACAACGATGATAACGACGAAGACGATTTGTACGTGACTATGATGTACCGGTATTATACAGACAACCTACTACAGTCAGATCCAGCTCCACTACTCATGCGACGTACGACGTTAAATAGAGACCGTGAGGAAGGGCATAGACGGCTAGTTAACGATTACTTTGCCGAAAATTGTGTCTACCAGCCAAGCGATTTCAAAAGAAGATTCCGTTTGCGAAAAAATGTCTTTGAAAGGATAGCCAACGCTATGGAAGCAAAGTATCGCTTGTTTCAACTTTTATAAATTACAAAATGTCACTTTTAGATAAAATAAATACAATTTTTACATGTTTAATATTTATTTAGGTATTGTTTGTTTCAATTTTTATAATTTATAAAATGTCACTTTTAGATAAAATAAATACAATTTTTACATGTTTAATATTTATTTAGGTATGAATTTTTCCAAATGAGATATGATGCTAGAGGCAAACGAGGCTTCACAGGGTTGCAAAAATGTGTTGCTGCAATAAAACTTATGGCAATGGGAGAGTCGCCCGATTCTGTTGACGATTATATGAGAATGTCTGAGAGGACCGCACGAGAAAGTTTGTATTTATTGGCAAGAGGTGTTGTTGAAACCTTCGGTGACCAATACTTGCGCAAACCTTCGTTGCATGATATGCAACAACTATATGCGGCGCACGAAGAAAGACATGGTTTTCTGGGTATGCTTAGGAGCATTGACTGCACACACTGGAAATGGAGAAATTGCCCCATGGCGTGGAAAGGCCAGTATTCGAGCGGTCATCATGGAGCGCCTTCGTTGGTCTTAGAGGCTGTTGCTTCACAAGATTTATGGATTTGGCATGCTTTTTTCGGGGTTGCGGGTTCTAACAACGACGTCAACGTTCTCGATCAATCACCAATATTTGACGATCTTTTGTCAGGAAAAGCCCCGGATGCTCCATTCACAGTGAATGGAAACGAATATAAGTTTGGGTATTACCTTACAGACGGAATATATCCACAATATTCCACGTTTGTGAAGGCGTTTCGACACCCAATAGATCCAAGGGACAAATATTTCAAGAGACGACAAGAAGGAGCACGTAAGGACGTTGAACGTGCTTTTGGGGTTTTGAAATCAAAATGGCACATAGTTGAACATGCAGCGAGACCTTATGAGTTAGATACTCTACGATATATCATGTATGCATGTATCATAATGCATAACATGGTTGTCGAAGATAAAGGACGCAATATTGCAACGTATTCGCCTACGGAGCCAAGACATGTGCAATTTCAACCAGGGACATCGGAATATTTACATAGAGTGGTTGATATTCAAGATCAGCGAAAACACAAGCAACTCCGTGAAGACTTGGCGGATTACATCTTTGTTGGGCATATCATTTTATTTAGCTTTAAGTTAATTTTTTTTATATTTTATATATTTATTCGGTATATCATTTTAATTATACAATTAATAACAGAAAAAACATAACATTTAGTCCTTAATTAGCAATTTGTCCCAACATTTTTTATGTTACTCTAAAGCCATTAATTCTTGACACACTTTCTCTTAGCTGATTAATAATACCAACGGATAAATGCCTAGTTGACGGTAACCCTTTCACTCAAGTGTTTCTCTCTTGGAAACTATCAAACGTCAGCATCTAAAATAACACCTTGCATAACGCCAGATACATATACGACTTGCAGAGTGGTTGAGAGTGTAAGGGGTGGATTTTCGTAAGCTTTGGAACAAAAAAAGACCCTTTGTTGCATGCACAAAAAAAAGAACCGTTGTAAGAATTTGAAGATTGAAGTAAATGTAATTATAATTATAATGTAATGTTCTTTTTATGGTTTCCTAGGAGCCGAGGTTTCCAACACGCTTACGAGTCGACTAATCCTAGGACGACTACTCGCTTCACGAGTAACCCAGAGTCATCGAGGGTGAACCTCCATGACCACAAAGAGGTTTTTTTATCCTCTTTGGAATAGAACTTGTGACCTCATGGCCTTTGACCTTATTTGGAGAAAGCTCTAACCAACTCGGCACCACCCTTGTGATTATGTAAAATGTTCTTATGATAGTTAACGAGATGGATTTCAATGTGCTCGCTTATTTTCCTTATTATTTAATATAGTCGTTTTCAGTCTTTGAAATCGTTTGTTTTTATGTCTCGTAAAAGAAATGACAAAGTGCCTGAGAAAATATATATACCAGATGATGACTATGATGATGAAGTTACTGACTTTTCTTTTGAGGGTTACGAACCAGAAACTTTTAACCTAACTTCTACACTTAGTGATGATTATTTTCTTAACATGTTATGCGGAGAAAACATGTTAAGGAAGAGTGATTGGGGCGACAAATTTGAGGGGAATACTGATGTTGATGAACATGGTGAACATTGGCACACTGAAGATAAAGATCAACTTGAAGTTGGTGTATAAAACATGGTACATGATCTAAAAGTGAAATGGAATAAAGTGAAGCCACTTGTTGGAGAGGTATATGATATCCCCGACTAACTGAGGTTCGCACTAACCAACTATGTAGTAGCAAAGTGCATTGACATAATAATAAAAAAAATCATACACTTTTAGTGAGCTGCAGTAGACACACAAGCCATGTAGCATCCATGTGTTATTTGACGTTGGTCGTGTGGTTTTTTGATCCATTTTAAAAAAATGTTTCTTCGTCATTCGACATTGATTTTGCATCCGACCATCTCCATTGATATACCCTAGTGATAAGAAATGAGTGTTTTTGAGTCATTGTGACTTAGGAAAGTTTAGTAATCATAAATTACATAATGATAAGATTAAATATTGTATGCTTATCTATAACTAACTTGTATGGGTGAATAGTAAATTGCTTATCTATGTGAATATTGAAGTAATAACTTATTATTGCATTGTGGTGAACACTTTACCTTGGAACATGTGTCACCACTTTATGATATACTTTAATTTGATTTTTATTTTGTGCATTACTATATGTTTGTATTGATTGGATATTATATGTACAATACATGCCTTACTTTGCTTGATGTTATAGTTTATGACTTGGGGCTCTTTGGACATGTTATGGATGAGTTTTACATAGAATGCAGGTGCAGAATGAGGACTCGTGCTAGGTCGAATGATTCATTTTTCTAATAGTTCAGTACATTCTTGTTTGAATTCAGAAACATCTTTTATACTATATGGAATTTTATTTGGAACATTAATTTCATCATTAGCGTTTTTTAATAATATTATTATTTCTTGATTATTTCTATTTTTTAAATGGGGGGTGTAATACCTTGACTTTATATAAAAGTGTATATACCCTTTGAATTTAGATTATGGGTTCATGTACTTTTTGCTAATAAATTACCCTGCCATTTAGGAGTGAGGAAGAAGACAAGCATATGGAGAGCTTTTTTCAGAGTGTTAGGACATCCACAAAGCATTAAACTACATATAGTTCAATGAATTGTCACATTATTTTTTATATTTCATATAACTCTATCAATTTTTTTCTATAATGCATTGAACTCTATATATAAAATTCAATTGGAAAATTACAAAAACTAATTTATAATATATATATATATATATATATATATATATATATATATATATATATATATATATATATAAGAATTTAAAAAATTCTTTTTCCTATTGAATTTCAAATCTATTGAATGTCAATGTGACATCTCACTATGATAGAGTTTAATCAATTGAATGACAATTTAAATAAATTTGTCATCTCATTCAACTCTCTTATTAAACTCACTATTATGGATGATCTTGGAATCGTATTTTGGTTAGTTTTTCATGTATCGACTTATAGACTTATATAATCTATATTTCCAAAAAAAATAAAGCCTTCCCACCTCATTATCTTTACGGGATAAACCTTTGAAACCGGATACAAATCTATATTCAAAACGTGTCAATAATTAATGACTTTATAGTAACAAAAAAAAAATATTGGGACAAATTGAAAACTATGGGCTAAATGTTATTTTAGCCCTTAATTATATTCTACTTATATCCATTATAAATTCCATATATCTCATGTTACTTCAGACGCGTTACACACAACTTATAAAATCTTGTTTCGTATTCATAATTATGACACGTAGTATGAGTACATATATCATACATGACGTAGTATTGATTTTGCTTGATTTTAAAAACAGGGGGTCGTTGGAGTATAAAGACAAAAGGTAGAGGTGAATATGAAGGTATTTCTGTAATTTTAGGCAAATTGAGGGGTAGTAAGTGTGTAATATACGTGGCAAACCATTTTAAACCACAGAGCCACGGTGCAAGGGCAAGAGGTGAACACGTGGAAGAATGAAGAGCAAAGTGGCACGAAACAACTGACACTCGATCTCGATGCTGTCTCAGCTCCCCAATTACCAATTTACGTTTATACCCTATAGTTCATCCAGTCACTTTTTCTCTTTATATCGAAACGACAAACTTAATAGAAATAAGAAACAATAAACAGATGTATATAAAAACAAAAGCATTTATTTAAGAAATGAACAATTTCCTCCCCTGCCACACAAAGAAAACCGGACCAAATTCAAACAAGTAGAAACAATGCCGTGGCTGCATGCGTAGACTAAAGTCAAAGTGGTCATACTGGATCCTTGAGAGATGTTGCAATTGTCAAAAGATTATAGATTGATTGTTCGAGCATTCTATGCTTAATTAGTGTTCATCACGATAAATGGAGTAAAAAAATAAAATACACTCCAAGGCTTTAGATGTATCAAATCTTGAATCATAGACATCTTTTATAGAGTTTCATACCTTAACCATTACAGATTTCTAATATAATTTCACACCCTAACCGATCAGAAGATGCTTTACTCATTAAGTCGTATATAAATAAAGTATCTGAATAAGTAATGACCTCTGTTTAGACAAAAATTGTTATACCTATAAGTTGTTTATTTTTTTCGGCTGACTGTAATGTTTAAATCTAAGTAAATGACTATTTTTTTCTTCTTTTTAGAAATGATGATGACCGACTATTTTGTAGTTTAACGCATTAAAAGATTAAAATTCACTCCATCAAGCATCAACACAATACGTTCAAAGTCTTCGTAAGTATATACTGATGTAATAACCAAAGAATGCTGTAAAAACGAAGCTCATTAATAGGAGGTATTATTACTGAATTACTGGTACAAGTTTCATCAAAATCACCATATGGGTTTTCGAAAATACCATGATATAGTTTATTATATATGATTAAATCCATACAACAACTAAGGAAGCTTCCCTAAAACATACTATAATTAAATCCATACCACTATCCGCTATCCACATTCCACATTAGGTTCACCAAAATTTGAATAATTTATAAAAAAATATGAGAAGAAATCATGTGCAGTCTGCAAAAAAAAGCTGTATCAGGCAGGCTCCACTACCTACCACCCATCTTCATTTTGCATCAATTTTTTTTTTGTCAATAATAATTGAGAAATCTGAAGATCGATCTATACACATACACCAACAGATTCCAAAACTGACTGGATTTCAAGAATTCAATCAGTCGCACATTCATCAGTCCACCAAACAACCGGCAACACAACAAGCACTGACTAGGATTATATTTAAGAAATACCCATGTATAATGTTGGTCGTATATAAATGTGTTTATACAACTATTCTTGTCTGAAAATCTTCAACAAGATTGATCTCCTTCATCTACATATGCCTCCCTAATAATTCATCCACATGATCTGGACTGGTCAAACTTATACATCAAATCATAATCATCATCCACACGTATGTATGTATATATGCTTCATGATTAAACAAATGTCAATGATGAATGTGATACAGAAAACTTTGGTTGTCCTTCTTCTGTGATGTTGGTTGTTGACTATAAAACTGATTATTCATTCCATATGCATTTCTTTTTTACTTTTTAATCTTACCACTTGTCTAAATTAAACAAATTGTTCAATCCCTGATGATTTCAAATGATCTGTTAATTGATCTAGCAACTCATGCACGTCGTTTGACAACTCATTTCTATGATCATCAACCATAAACTCATATGAAACTCCATTAACTTCAATAAAGCTAACACCTTTGTGTTTCTTGATGCCATGATCCTTCATTAGTTTCCTTATGTTCTTTACATCTTTCCATCTCCTAGCTTCACAAAACATGTTTGATACAAGAACATAAAGTCCTGAAGTATATGGTTCTAACTCCAATACTTGTTTTAAAACTTGCTTCCCAAGTTCAAGATTTCCATGGATTCTACAAGCCCCAAGTAAGGCGCCCCAGATTACAACATCAGGCTTCATTGGCATTGATTTTATTAACTTTATGGCATCTGGAAATAGTCCTAATCTCCCAAAAAGATAAATCATGCATGCATAGTGTTCGATTTCATGTTGTACATTATACATAGGAATCATTCTTTCAAAGTAATATTTACCTGTTTCTGTTAAACCACTGTGACAACAAGCAGAAAGCAACCCCATGAATGTGATCTCATCAGGCTGTATTCCATTCTCACAAACTTTCATACTTTCAAAAAGTTCAACTGCTTCAAAACCATGTCCATGTAAAGCAAGTGCTCCAATCATGACATTCCAAGAAACAAGATTCTTTTCTGGGATCTTTAGAAAGATACTCAAAGAAGTTTCTAACATCCCACATTTAGCATACATGTCTATCAACGAATTGAACAATGTGACACTTGGCGTTACGTGGTTGGAGGATATATAAGTATGGATGTTCTTCCCCTTTTCCAAATCACCAAGTTGAGAACAAGCTGATAGGACAGTAACCAGAGTCGACTCATCAGGAGTTAGTCCTACATTCAAAATCTCATCAAAAAGACCTAAAACTTCATTATAACAACCTTTTTGTAAATAGCATGAAATCATTGAGTTCCAAGAAACCACATTTTTAACTGGCATTTGATAAAAAAGATTCTTGGCTGAGTCTAGTAGACTGTGTTTAGCATATGCAGTAACCATAGATGTCCATGAAACCACGTTTTTGTCATACATTCGGTCAAAGAATGTTTGAGCTGAATGGAGATCTCCACATTTTGAATACATGTCCACAATAGCATTTTGGACATAAATATCAATGTGGGACTTTGTAGTCACGATATATGAATGTAAAGATCTTCCCAATACTCCATGTGAGCTCTGTGAACAAACAGAAAGTAGGCTAACAAATGTGAAGTCATCAGGTTTCACATCTAGCTCCCTCATCTTTCTAAACAATAAAAAGGCCTCCTTGCAATAGCCCATCTTGGAGTACCCACCAATCATTGTATTCCATGAAACCAAACTCTTATCAACCATATCATCAAACACCTTTCTTGAATCCCTAATGGAGTCACAACTACAATATACACTAATCAGCCCATTTTGCACATAAACATGAAACTGGAATCCAAGCTTGATAATACGGACATGCACTAGAACCCCATCTAATAATCTAGATAGCACTGCGCACACTTTAAGAACAAAAGGGTATGTGAATTCGTTTGGTGAAATGCCAACACGAATCATTTGATGGTAGAGGTGTAGAGCTTTTATAGGGTTGTCAGTATTGACGTAGCCCCTGATCAAACTATTGTACATGTATCGATTTGTTTGAGGCAAATGGTCGAACACAAGCTGTGCATACTGTAGATCGGTTGTTTCCGACACAGCACAGAAAGAAATCAACTTGCTAACCGTAAGCGTTTCTTGATGGAGTCCATGAAGGATGATTTGGGCATGAATTAGTTTTAGTTTCCTCATTGATTGACATTTCTCAAGGAGGTGGTATAGGGTTTGGTGAGCAGGGGAGACGAAATTGTTGGCTAAGGAATTGGTGATGGTGGTGGGAGAAGAAGAGAAAAGGGAGAGTGATTTGCTATGGCGGGAGACAACGGTTAAATGTTTGATAGAAGTGAACATGGTATTGGGTATTGCTCGTAGATCATTTACAAAAAGGAAATCGCTACGAGGTCTCCGGACGTTGGGCTAAAATTTCACATTGTTTTGAACTTTGTAGGGCCTGACTTAGAGGATGCTTAGAGGGTGTCTAGATAAATTCGGTTATAGCTTATTAGCTTTGGAAAATGATTTATACACAACAGTTTTTTATCCGTACACAACAATTTATGTTTAATTGAGTTGTACAATGCAACACTTTAAAACACAAATTGTTGTGAAAAAATTTTGTTGTGTACGAATCACTTCCTATTAGCATATAGCGATGAGAGGATGTATGATCCTATGATATATCATCATCTATGTATGTGGTATTATATGTTGATTGAATTAAAGTTTATATGTAATGAAAGTTCAAATAAAGTAAAACCTGTATGTAAGTTCAAATGAAAAGAGTAAAACCTGCTCTGTCCAAAATCTAAAATCCCAAAGCTATATTATTGCTAAGGGCAATTGGTTTGAATATATATAATAATTTTGATAGATTAACTGAACTAAAAAATTGGATATATAAATTTTTTAGTAATTTACATTTTTGGTCCTTGTGGTTATGATTTTTCCGAATAACTTCAAACTATTAAGTGTAACATTAGTCATTTTTAAAACATTATTTATTTTCATGTGTTTGGTCCCTAAGATCAAAATTAACACAGTTTAATTTTGAGTAAAACATGTGAAATTACTATTGTACCCCTACTTTCATATTTAAATTGTTTATTTAAATTTATTATATATATTTTAATAATAAAAACATGTAACCATCACATACTCTCATTTTCCTTCTCCTCCCTACATCTCATCTCCCATCTGTTGAGTAATCTAAGCATAGTACTAGCCCTTAAAAACCTTCAAATGTATTCCACTTCGATACATATCGGAGACCTGCAAATACATTACATCTCCATCTTCATCTTCATAAAAAAAGAATCGAAAATATAACTTTTTACAAGAAAAATAAATCTGAAACTAAAGTGTACGCCCAGATTTCTCAAACTCCATTAAGAGCTTGATGCCTTAAGCTCTTACATCTCATTTTCAGATCCAAGGCTAAATCATCCTCAAGATTCATAACGTTTCCAACTTTATGACCTTGCATTTCCATTAAGTGCTTAACTCAAATCTTAATACAGTAAGACCTTCTAATGAGTGCATGGAGCAAAACCAACCATTAAGACTCCATTTTTATGATTCAAGACCTTTCCTAAGGTCTGAAAGGACGGCTTAATGGGTCAAGAACATGTCATGTCCAAGAATCATCATTTTGGGACCAAAAGAGACTTAAAAGAGTGGAATGTCTAGATCTACAAGATGGAGTGGTAAAGTTGCAAGCTTTATACCTCCTGGAGGTTGCAATCAAGGTAGAAATCCCAGATCCAAAATGCTCTCAACTCCAAGATCTTCTCACCACCTTTTTCTTTCTTCAAAACTTTCTTAAAGGCTCCAAAATTGCTCTTTTGCTCTTAGGGTTGCTTGGGGGGTCGATGTCACAGAAGGAGGCTGGGTAAGAAGAATATATGAGGCCTTAATGATGCTTAAATGGAAGACCCTAACTTTCGTACTAAAGACATTGTCACTCCAAAACATGCTACATGCATATTCATAAATAATATCATACATTGATAGTGTGATTACAAAAGACTGGATACAAACCGACTAAGTTTTAGTATATTACATAACTACCCAGGATATTATAATTTTTTTATACAAACATAAACCCAAATACAAAAGTAATAGTATAAACTATTCTAAATCTTCCAACAGTATATGACTATAATGGATTCTCATTACCTGCAATTGTTAAACACTAAGAGGGGTAAGCGGTGACGCTTAGTGAGTTCAATAATAGATACAATATAACGCTATGCCATATACATATCAATATGACAGAAGCAAAGAGGTATAAAGAGCAACAAAGGCAGATGAGTATCATATGACATGTTTTCCATATCAACGAATAATCTGATTCAAAGATATACAATCAATGAGACATAACAATTTCAATACTTGATATACATCAATAAGACTTTTGCCCATATGGCATGGAAAAATAACCAATTTCTGAATAAACATTTTGGCTAGCAAATTATAGGCTTTCAGCCCTGCCTAGCCTTCTGCCAATGCCATAATGGTAGAAGTCATTCTCTTACGAGACATGCTCTACATGGACAGAGGCTACATACATGTACCCAAGTGATGCTTATGTCATACACTTCGTAACTCATTATCATAATAACATGGGAAAGCACATTGAACATATAACACATAACATACAATTGTTCCTATATATTGAACTCACATAACATACAATTGTTCATAGAGTGAAATTTTGAGATTCACGGCGTGAACCATGTATGTTCACGTCGTGACTTCGATCCTGGTCACCCCCTAGGCTTTCCGTGTGTCTTCTAGGCTCGAACCACGTCGTTCACTGAGTTCACGTCGTGAACACTGTGTTCACATCGTGAATGCAGTCAAATTCTCGAAGTTTGTGCTCCGAACTTCAAAAATCCATATATTTTGCATACGAGCTCCGTTTTTGACGTTCTTTATATCCACGTGTAGGTGAGATTATGCTCTACATCTTTCATTTAGACTCCGTCGGCTAATTTTGAATTTATTTTTAATATTATATTAATATTATATTTTTAACGGGCCGAGACAAGAAAAGTCCGTTAAAATTTCATAACTTCTTCATCCGAAGTCCGTTTTCGTATGTCTTTTTACCGTTGTACTACTATTAACGAGACATTCGATTCTCGTTTAGGTTGTGTCGGCTAAAAATCACTCGATCTTTATTTCGAGTTTTTAGTTGTCTACTTTTATACCGAAACTTAGAAAAATCATAACTTCCTCATACGAAGTCAGATTTAGACATTCTTTTTATGAAAGTTCTCGGTTTAACGAATACTATGACTTTCATTTAGATCATAAGGGCTAAAAAGTAGTTTATCAAAAAGTCACTTTTTACGTCATACGGCGTCGTGTCGGTTCTGTCGCGAAACTTCAATAAGTCATAACTTCTTCGTTATAACTCAGATTTCGATGAGGTTTTCGCCTAAATATTTCTAACGAGATTCTTTACAACTTTCAATAACATTATTTTTACTTATTTCAAATTTTATATTTTCGTTAAATTTCAATATTTGACTTTTGATTGGAATCTCACAAGACTTCCAATATTTTCCGAGCGATTCTAAACATAGTTTTACTTCATTTCTAGTAAAAACTATCTGTTAGACCTTAACGCTCAAATTCATATAATATTTCATTATATTATTCCCTTTTAAAATTACATAACACGATAACTGAACGTGTATGTTACAAATACCTCCTCCTTTTAAGGATTTCGTCCCCGAAATCATAACGATTTAAACAAATGGTGATATTTCGTTCCTATCTCATTCTTATTTTCCCAAGTATAATTTGGGCCTCGATGGTGTTTCCACTTGACGTGCACCAATTCCAAGACATATGCACAAAGCATATCTTCTACTGTTTGGATTGTTCTCTCTGTCTGACCATCTGTCTGGGGATGATAAGTTGTGCAAAGAGTAACACGAGATTCCAATTCATGTTGCATACTCGCCCAAAAATGAGAAGTGAAGCGAGTATTACGATCAGAAATAATCTTCAGTGGTACACATCATTTACAGTTTTCTTCTCCTCTTTGAGATATCAACTGTATAGACCAGATAGATAGAACACCCCCTTCGATATAAATTTACAAGTTTTTAAGAAAGAATTTATATTTAAGATTTTTAAGTCTTTGTTCACTATTGACATAAATAGGATCCTTCCCTTCGATAGGGTTGCGTACCATCTTTTCGTAACACCAGAGTTCTGCGTGGCTCTTTAACAACCAATCCATGCTGAGAATAATATCAAAGTTGGGCAAGAAGATAGGAATCATGTTAGCAAGAAAATTGTAACCTTCAGTTTCTATGACAAAATCTCTATGGACTTTACCAGCAAGTAATGATACACTTCCTGTGGTATCTACATGAAATGATTGGGCGAATGAATAACAAGCAATTTGGAAGGAATACACAAATTCATGAGACACAAAAGAATCTGAGGCACCAGAATCAAATAATATATGAGAAGGTCTAGAGTTGACGGGAAATGAACCATTCACAATATTCGGGTCCTCGTGTGCCTCCTCTACGGTAATCTGAAATGTACGGCCTTTAACTAAACGATTGTCAAACTCTTCAAACTTCTTAATTGATGGTGGTGCTCAAATCTGCACTCGCTCTTCATTCTCTATTGGGCCTTCGGTCCTAATCTCTGAGAAAATCAATTCTCATTGCAAACTCTTACTCTTTCTTGAATTTGGGTTATAGACTCAACCCAAGATAAGGTTTTCACTTTTGCTACAATAACAACTCGAATTGTCATATTCTAATGAACTTTGATTTTATAACGCAAAAGAAACATAACGAACCATACTCTTGTATTAGAATCCGATCGAACAGATCGAGCTGATGGAATAGAGAAAACAGAGACAGTTTGATCAACACGTGGATGCTTCGGAACAGAAGGAGTGGCACCACATATTTCTAAGTCATGATCACGCTTTCATGCATAGTCAACAACTTTGTCGAATGATAGAATATTTCAATTAATTATGAAATTCACGGATTTCATACCGTAATCCTTCCATAAATAACTAAATCTTCATCGTCTTCATAACAGGTAACATCTCTAGTTAATGATCGCTCAATCCTTTAATGAAGATCATTATATTTCTATCGACTACCTTGACCATCTACTTCTTCAATTCTCTGACTGGAATTTCATCACTACACTAGACATGGTTCTCTGAACCAATCAATTCACTTCGCAGAGTTATTTTAATCGGAGTCGATTCTTTATGACCACTAAGGTATGAACGAAAATCATCTTCTTAGTCATCACCGAAACAATGGTAACAACATATTTGAACAAAAACGAAATCAATTACT